TAGTTTATTTTTTTTACCCAATTGAAAAAAAAAATGCCACTTTCAATATCCCTACTATATTATTTTTAAATTTATACAAATATGTCCAACAAGCTTCTGTTTGTCTATCCCCTTTACTCTTCAGTTTCTTATCTTCTCATCACCCTTTCACCCTTCGTGGAGCAGATGAGACTGTGAGCTTCTGGGTCTCACACAGAACATGAGTTACATGGGCAGGCTCCTCAGACCCTGCGTACATATACCATGATGTCTAATGCTCTGGCTGCTTGGGGTGAAGGCAGAGGGAAGTACAAATTCCTTTCCATATAAACATTAGATCTTAAGTACTCTAAACCCAGCAATGACAGAGTTAAACAAGATTGTGGAAGCGAGGTTTTCAGAGCCCAGGCTATGCTTGCAGCTTGAAAGCATACTGTAGCTTTGAGGAGAGCTTTTCATTATTGGACAAGATCCAGCATCTCACCATCTATATTACAGTTTGCTCAAAAGCAGGCAGATTATGAAGAAATAGCAGCCACATCTGTGGCAGCCACATTTATCCCATCTGCTTTTTATTTTATCAACTAGGAAAGTAAAATCCTAGTCATTGCACAAGACTGTTTTATAAGGATTAGTGCAAATAATTTGGCACTGACAAAACATATACATAAACATTTTTCCTTCTGGATGAGACATTTTAAAATTACATTTCCAATGGTTTTAATTACAGTTAAAAGCTTTCACCATTTATTCCGAGTCATTACAGTACTTACAAGCTTTTTTCAAGTAGTTCTGTGCTTCTTCTGCCCAGGTAGTTTTTAGGACACACTTAACATCACCACCCAGCAGTCTTTAAAAGTATAGTTCAGGATGCCCTCATTTTGCCTTTGTTCTCATTGGTGTCATTGCTACTGCCATGTGAAGGTAGGAAGCTGATGTGGAAGTGGAGAGTGAGAAGGAGCAGGGAGTTACAGAGGCAGGAGGATAGAAAATACAGCCCTGTCACACACTTTCTTGAGTCACTGAGACCTGTCCTTTGTATCACCAGTAATAACATCACGTAGTACTGTTTTTAGAAAGACCCAACACTTCCTTGTGATCTAGTTACTTTAGGAGTCCAAGCATGTATAGTCTTACTCGGGGTTTAGTTCTGCAGATGTTGTCCCTTTGTCCTCAGGCCAACATCGGTTAATTGACTTTTTCCACTTTTGTTCACATCTCCTTCTTCTTTCCTGCATATTTCTCAAGAGAAGTCATAACCTCTTTCAAACCAAGGTTTTGCTGTTCTAGTCAGGCCAAAGTCATTTATGTTACGTCTTTTAAGACAGAGTTTTCTTATCATTTTGTTGGTCCTGTCCTATACCTTCTTCAGCTTAGGTAAATCCTTCCTAAGCATGGGAAATTATAAACTCACACAGTGTGCTGGGGAGATCTTGCCAATGCCCTGTGTAATGACATTAATATGTTCTTATCTCTACAGGAATTGATTCATGTGTCAGAGAGTTTTTGATCTCCTCAGCCACTGAAAGCTGCGTCTCTGGCACCAAAGCACAGCTTGCTCAGCTCTTAGTCATTGGTTCCTACACACAGTACATCTGAAAGCTCTTTCAAAAGGATGCTAGTATCACTGTCCTCATTTGAAAAAGGCAATTCAGATGACAAAATAACTTGCCAAAGACACACGGCAGGCTGATAGCCAAAATGAAATAAAGATTTTATGTGCCTCGACCAACAAATGATATGTCCTCTAGACCACAGACTGCAAAGAGAGATCAGACAGGCCTTTTTAATCTAAGGGTTAGAGGAAAAAAATATATATATATATATGTTATAGTTGAGAGGAAAGGAAGACCTTTCATATGGATAAAAAGGAGAATGACCCTGGAATGAAATTCTGTTGGCATAATATTCATAAGACTTTTGAAACAACGGGAAACATAGCAGAATATAGCATCACTTTGCGCTCACATGGGGTCTTTCATCCATGGGGTACAGACTAGCCTTGCTAGGTAAGAAATCATTTACAACTAGCAAACAGACAAATGGCTTTATTACAGACCCAAGTAATATTGCATGACTCCAACTCTGTAAGACCTACATTTTTAACTTTATATACTGTGATTAGCAGCAACTGCTGACATGACTTTTCATTAACACTCTAATGAGTCTTTGGAAGATTTCAGTCAAAGTCACTGGGAGCTGGAAACTGAGAGGCTTCTGATACCTATCCTGATGCACTGTCCTCCACGAGGTTTCTTAAGATGTTTCTTTTACCTCTGTCTGAGATAAAGAGAAAGCTTCCAGGAAAGTATTTATCACATGTTTTATTGCTTGAAGAAAGAAAGAATATTGTTATTCTGAAAGAATACTGAGTTTAGATCTTTTCACAGGTTTGTAAATATTTTTATCCTGATAAAAGAGTCACAGAGCTGTTGAGATTAGGAAATAACCTAGTCCAACTTCCCCACTCAGAGCAGCTTAGCCACAGCAGGTTGCTCTGCTGCAACCAATTGTATCTGAATATCTCCACAGATGGAAATTCCAGAATGACTCTTCAACCTGTTCCAGTGTTTGACTACACTCAAGGGAAAAAACATATTGTCTCATGTTTCAGTGGAGTTTCCCATATTTCAATCTGTGTCCATTGCCTCTTCTTCCGTTTGTGGATACTGCCAAGAAGAGTCTAGCTCTGTTTTCTTTACTCTCCCAGTCAGGTATTTATACACATGAATAAGATCTCCCTGAGCCTTTTAATCTCCAAGCTGGACAGTCCCAGTTCTTTCAGCCTCTCCACATACGGCAGATGGTCCAGTCCCTTTATTATCTTTGTGGCTCTTTGCTGTGCTCACTTCAGTTATGTCCATGTCTTTCCTATACTGGAGAGCCCAGGAGTGCATGCAGCATCTCGTATGCCTCACCAGGACTAAGCAGAGAAGAAATATCACCACCTACTACATGTTGGCAGTACTCTATTGCAGTCCAGGATGCCACTGGTGTTCTTTGTCACAAGGGCACATTGCTGACACACGGTCAACTTGTTGTTCACCAGAACCCCCATGTCCTTTAGTTAAAAGGTGTTCTCCAGCCAATTGGTCCCAGCACGTACTGCTGACAGGGATTACTTGTTAGTAAGTGCAGGGTTTGCCATTTCCCTTTGCTAAACTTCATGAGGTTCCTGCCAACCTCATTCCTCCAGCTCTCCAGGTTTCGGTGACTGGCAGCACACCCATCTTTACCACTCTTCACAGTTTTGTGATTGACATTGACATCTATTGACAAGCCAATGCTGCATTCTGTCCCCATCTTTCTGATTAATATGTTAAACAAGATTGGACCCAGTATTGACATGGAGGGCACCCCTCTTTATTAACCTCCAACTGCATTTTGTTCCACTGATCACAACCCTCTGAGTCTGCCTATTTGAACAGTTTTCAATCCACCTCACTGTCTACTTATTCTTTACCAGTTTATCTATGAGGATGTTATGAGAAACAACATCAAAAATCTTGCTAAGGTCCAGAAAAACAACATCCACTGCTCTTTACACACCCGCTGAGCCAGTAACCTCATTGTAGAAGCCCATTGGGTTGGTAAGACATGATTTTCCTTCCCTAAATCTATGCTGAGTTCCCCCTGTCACCTTCTTGTCCTTCATGTGCCTGTAAATGTTTTCCAGGATTAGTTGTTTCATCACATCATGTACAAAGTGCAGGTCCATTTTCTTCAAATGTTTCCTACCTTGATTGTCCTCTACTGCAGATGAATCTACATTACCCTGGACTTTCCCACTGGTCTCAGGGGTCTGGAATACCTTAGGGTGTCATACCTATAAAGGGAGAGACAAGGAGGACATGGAGTTCCTCAGCCTTCTCCATGTCTTTGGTCACAAATGGATCTGCTCTGTTTAGCAGTGGGTCTACATTTTTCTTAGCATTTCTTTTGCTGCTGATGTGCCTATAGAAATCTTTCTTCACGTCTCTTGTGACATTTAATTCCATGTGGGCTTTGGCTTTCTTAACCCAATCATGTCAGACAACATCTCTATATTCTTCTTGTATCTCCTGTTCCTGCTTCTACTTATATACTTCCTTTCTGTGTCTGAATTTATTAGGGAGATCCTTGCTTATTCATACAGACTTTCTACCCTCTGCTTGATTTCTGTTTGTCAGCACAGACCACTCTTGAGCTTAGATACTTGAAAATCAATCAGCTGTCCTGGACCTCTGTTCTCTCCAGGACTATTTAGCATGAGATTCTTCCAAGTAGATATCTGAGAGGATTACAGACTGCTCTCCTGAAGTCCAGGGCCATGGTGCCATTTGTTCTGCTACTCCATCACAGAATCCTGATCACCATGTCATGGTCACTGGAATTCCCACCCAGTTCCTCCTTATTTGTAAGTATCACACACATCTTTGCACATCCCCACCTTTTCTCCTTGATAACACATTAGGAAGATGTTATTTACACTTCCAGTGGAAATTTCTTGAACACAAGGTCTATTGGGGTGCAGGGTATGGGGGGTGAAAGAAAGAAAAAGAGAACATTTCCTTCTTGAGATAATCACTTGTTGCTTCACAGATGCGAGTTAATATGAACTGGCTGGTGTCAGCCTGAGAAACATATTTGTAGTTTTTGCTTACTGCTCAATTCAGTGGTATATATATTTGGAGGCAGGGCTGAGTACGACAGCAACTTATTTCTCAGATGAAATTGGCACAGATGTCAGTTTTTCCATTCCATCAGACAGTGGAATGACAGTTAGGTTTGTCAGCAAGTTTTCTATTTTAGGAGCAAGAAATATGTTCTGCTGGATTGTGAATTAGAAAAAATTAGAAAAAAGCAAAACAAAACAGAACAAAACCAACAGAAAATATTTCAGCTCTGTGTTTCTGAAAGATATTTACTGCACATATTTGTGAAATTATATCCAATGATATGGACCTTAAGTTTTTTTTTTAATTTTTACTTTACTAGTATGTCTTCTCATTTTCCTAAGTCTGATTTATTATTTTCATTACTTTTTTTTTTTTTTTTGGGGGGGGGGAGCGGTTGTTTTCTTGTTTTTGTGCTAGTGACTGCTTCGAGAATTACTTTCATAGTGCATTTGTGAAAGATTATTGTAAAGACAGTCTCTGAAATGCAGCTAAGTCTTGCTGCATTACTTGCTATATTCGTAGGTTACATTAGTACATGAAGAGACTTGTGGGGTTTTTATTATTTTTATTTTTATTCTAATTCTGGGGGCAGAGGTTTGAATGATGTAGCTGTTTGGCATACAAGCCAAAATGGAGGAACTCTGAAAACATCTGTATTTAATAAGCATGTTTTTTCTGGAATATGGGACAGGTCTTCTTTTTATTTCAGTGAATGCAGAAGAACCTTGTGGGATGAGGGATCATTAGCTCAGCTCTCTTGGATTACTGAAAGGTTCCTCAGGGCTTTTTCAAGGGTCTGGTTGGAGCCTGTAGTGGGGAAGAGAAGAAAGGAACAGGAGTTCAGAAAAGAGGAGACAGGAATGTCACATCCAAAAAGCCTTTAGCATATCAGCTATTACAGTGTTATTGCTGTAGGCTTAAAGGGTGGTCTTAATGCTGTGAAATAGATAGAACCCTGTGACACTAGGAACAGCTACTTGCGAAACAGTCGTTGCCAATGTGGTTTTAGAAAAATCTTATCCTGTTTGCTGAAACCCCCTGAATCAGGAGGCTTGCAAAGCACAATGCAGCTTTTAGTGTCCAGCAAGCCTTCAAGAAGTATTTTTTTTCTACTTTTTCACCAAATTTCCTAGTTCTCTTACTCCTTTGGCATGTTGTCAACTGCAACTATAAAGTACAATCAGTTCTGTGACTGTTCTTGCAGAGAGCGTGAAACGTCCCATTAGACAAAATGTCCCATTAGACAAAATGTCCCATTAGACAAATTGCAATTAAAGAATTGTATAAATATGTTTTTCTATTACTAAGCATGCACATCAAAAGAATTCAAAATCTGAAGCTTTCTGCAAGTGTGTTCATTAGCACAGAAAAATTAGTCTTGATTTCCATTTTCTCTAATCCATTTAAGCTCAGCGGATTTAAACGTATAGCAAGGCACATGCACTGATACACCTGTTAGACTTGTGTGATCACTTGATAACATACTAACTTTCAGCAACAGATTTCACTCATAAAACATTTGGTTTAAAAGTTAAAAATCTAGAAGGGATATGTTTGCTTGTTTATTTAGATAGGTGTTGTAGTGTTTCCATGTAAAAAAAATTGAGAGAAAGGCAATGAAAAAGAACAGATGGAAGATAAAAATGACCTCTATGCTAAGTCTTTACTGTTCAAGGCTATTATAGAAATAAAACAAAATGACACTATTCCTGGAAAAACCTGGGACAGTAAGGAATGGCTTGTTTATCTGTGTTAACTAGCTGCCTGCTGCAGCATCCAAGCTTCAGTTGTCAGCTGTAGGAAATATTTCAGAAACTGGTTGTACATGTAAGATCTCACAGGAATATATTTCAGTCATCACACACCGTGGGTCTATGCTGTCCCTACTCATTGTGCTTTCAGTCACCTCTGAGTATGCAGTAGCAAATTTATATGGAGTTTGGAAATGTGTAGGAATAAAAACATAGAAACTGTATTTATTTATTTATTTATTTGTTTATTTATTTATTTATTTATTTATTCCTGGACTTCTGGACATTAAAACTAGATACAGTTTATATTTTATACAGTCAACAATCACTGACATTCCTTGGCAGCTACCAGGTGCTAGCTGTGTAAAGGATTAAATCTATGTTATTTCAAAATCTATCAAATATACATATCAAATAATATATATCAAATCTATTTTTGCCTGCAGAACCAAGCTACCTAATGGCATGGTTTCACAGAACAATACAGTTATCAGCAGTGTCACAGCTGCAGAAGAGGTGATTTGAAGATCAGTTCACGCATGTAAAGAATTAGGCCCTTTTTGAATAAGAACAGGTGTGTTCTGGAAGATAATTATAGACAGAAGGCAGGTTTAATGGCTAACAATTTTTAAAAAACAAGGAGTCCTTGCACAGTTCTGGCACACAGCTCTGTGCCTGGAGAAACACCCAATTTTTCTATAAAAGTCAAACAGAAACCATTTAGGAGTTACAGCAGTTTGCATATTTGCACTACTAAAAAACACCACCATAAACAGCACTCAATTTGAACAGCAGAACTAACTGTCTAAAAGCTGGTAGAAACCCAAAAAGTAAATGTGAATTTGATGCCAGATTACATTATTTTATGGAAGTTCATGCTAAGGAGAGAAAGTTTCCCTGTAGAACAATTACATTCAAGAAACAAATGCAGGAAAAAATCAGGAAAAAACAAAAACAAAACAGTGCAGATGTTTTTTGCAGAGATACTTTTTTAATATTTAATTGCTATTTTTACTGTACTTCAAGCAGCTCTATACTTGTTTATAAAGGATTTCTGATCTAAGCCTTTGTGAAAAATTTTCCTTAGAACAACAATACTTCTTTTTAGAGTGCAGAGGAGCTGGAAGCCAATACACAAGAATTTGCCTTTTAGCACTGAGTTGTCCAGATTTATTTCAAACTAGATTACTAAACTGAAAAGGAATGGAAGTTTTATAACTTTTAGCTTGAACTTTAGTTTCTTGTTTGTTTGTTTGTTTGTTTTTAACCAAGGACACATCAAATTGCACAGATGAACTGTGATCTTATGTCTGTTTTGACCAAAGAACCTCTATGAGGTACAGATGTTTGTATGAAATGTAGTGAAATGAAGATGCTTTGTGATTTAAAAAAATCACAAAAATTGCTTATCTGGCCACATTGCACACTATGTGTAATCTTCCATTAGTGCAGAGTCTATCCACACTTTCTGCCAAGGTCAGCCAGATGGATTGTGCAAATCAACATAGCATTCTACTCATTAGTCTTTAATTATAAGTTCCATTGTATCAGCTATTCAGAGAAGAAATGTACAGTTATTCCATCTTTAAGAAAAGAGATAAACAGATTGAAGTTATGCTGATTTTTGTTGTTGTTCTTGTTGTTCTTGTTGTTTTCCCCAAAGGTTCAGTGAATAGATAATACAAAAAGCAAAAATTGTGGGCACAGTGTATGCAATCCAAGTACCTAGGTATTCTTGATCCTTGTAATCATTCTTGTGTTTTTGTTCATACACCCACCAAAGCATGAGATCCTTAATACTGAGAGTTCTAGCATTTTTGGATGTAGTAATAAAGAGCAGATTAAGTATTTTGAAGACAAAAGAACAGTTAGGACATTTCTGTAACATTTCTTGTCTGCTTGTAAACACAGCTTGTATGTGGCTTGAAGTTAGTGGTCCTTTTTAACAATTTATGCAGACTTAACAACTCCTATCCAGAGTTTGACTTATCAGTGACTTTTCAACATTTTGTCCTCTAATTTAATCTCTCTCTTTTTATTTATTTATATATTTATTTGTTTATTTTATGCCATGTTTCAGGTAGTCCAGTGAGACCTGCACTTACAATATTTCAGGTTGGATGTCTACACCAAATGAGAACATGCTGAGATTAAATTTTCTCACTGTTTCTACCAGGCAAAGAAGAGTTTCAGGATTAAAAGTATAGTTTTTTATTAAGTGTTACTGAACTACTAGATGCTACAGAGCTGCTATACTTTATTATTATCAAATGTACCTGTGACGTAAACACTGAAATGAAAGTGTACTTTTTATGTATCGTTTGATTCTGAAGAATCACAGAGAGTGTACTAGTAACAGTGAGACTTTATATATCCTGTCAGACATTTTGAATGACAGAAGGATAATACTGTAAAATTTCAAATGAAAAGCTCAGAAACGTGTCCGTACAACTCCATGTCCTGATGCATGGCTGCAAGAACTACCTAGAATTTATGACTAAAATCTATTCTGATGTGGACTGATTGTACTTTGGTAAGAAGCAGTATTTGAATTCAAGGATGATGTTATTCCTGCCAACACCTCTTGTCCCTTTACCTCTCACAAACTTTTTCACTAGCTGTCTATATGAATTTACTCATATGTTTTACTTTTGGGGTTGTAGGGTTTTTGTTTTTTTTTGTTTTCATTTGACATTTTCTCATATACCTATTGAAAATGGAAGAAAAAGGTTCCTCTTCCATATATAAGCTTGCAACAAGCTCTAGTATTTGCTTACCTTATCATAGCTGGCCATGTGGTACTCCGTAATGGGGCTAGGTGTGACAAAGGGCAGTTGACACTAACTGAGCCTTGGGAAGTTCAATATTATCATTAGAAAAATCAATTGGTAGCAAAAGGAGTTTTTCTTTAGAGTAACTAAGACACAGTAAGAAAGTGTGGAGAGAAGGTCTTGTGTTAGTTCTAAATTAACCTTTATCTGGACAGTCCTTAAAGTCAAATTCTTGTTTTTCTTCACAGTAGTGTGTCCCTTTCTGAGACAATTTGGTAAAGATAGGAGACAGTCTCCAATGTTCTGTTCACTGCAGCTTTACTTTAAGTGACTGCTCATTTTATTTATTGGTAGATACCTGAGGTTTTTATGGGTAAGCATAGAAATATTTTCCAGATGTTTTAGTGGCGTCCCTATGGCAGCATAGCCTATATGTTGGAAGTTCTCTAAAATTTATCAGGTCTGATTTTGATTCAGTAGTGAAGATACTCTGGAATACTTTCCTTTTCTGTTAGATGTTAATATTTCTATAGAGTTTTTTGTACATTAGCCTTTCTTGAGATGGTTATGAAGTTACTGCACATTCAGCCTATGTCATCAATAGCTTGCAAAATGAATTGCAGTTTAGTAGCAAAATCATGCAAGAATATATTCTACTTGGTCCCTTCCCATGCATGCCTGAAGTGTATTTAATCAGCAGCTCTGTAGTGCTTAGAGCCTGTTCCCCCCAGCTGTGCTAAGCTGCAGTCAGTCCTTTCTGAACAATATAGTTCATCTCTTTGTGGTGCTGATTCCTGGCACAGTATTAACAGTATTACTGTATGAACTGGAAGAAAAGTACAGACAATTTATTTTTATTTTTGTCCCCTCCACTTTTGTATCTCTCTATTTGCAATTGCTAGACAGCAATGGAAAATCTTTTATATGAATAAATCCAGGTCAAATTTTTCCACAAAACAATCTCTGAAATAATTTTGGCAATGCAATAAGAGGATTATCTACCCCAGCAACATACTTCCAGATTTTTATATAGAAATCAGAGGCCATGAACTTATTTCTAGGGTCCCCTTACTACAAAGTATAACATTAGCTTGCAGAGTTATTTAATATTTCAGAGCCAGTTAAACCCAGCTGAACTTAATCTTTATCCATAATTACACTTTCAATTATTTTCAGTTTTGTTCCACAGAAATGTCTAAGCTTGACATTTTGGATAAAGTTGTATTCTTCTTTACAACTAAATTGGTATAGACTGATTTTCTGCTCTGTGAGAAAGCCCTGGCAATAAACCCCTAGATTGGATTGGGAAAAAAAGTTGTGAAATTCTTGTATAGAAATAGCAGGCAGCCCATTTTTTAAAATATATTTTGGTGGTTCTCAGTATTTAGAGCCATACATTTCTGCTTTAGGGGCCCAAGCCCCATTTTCAAGATGTCTTTAGCTCTCCAGGGAGAATTTATAGCCTCTGAATATGGCCTAGATCTTGGTCTTATTGTTGAAAAATAGGTCCAGAGGAGGGCTACGAGGATTATCAGAGGGCTGAAGCACCTCTCCTATGAAGAAAAGCTGAGAGAGCTGGGGATGTTGAGGCTACAGAAGAGAAGGCTCTGGGGGAACCTCATTGCAACTCTCAGTATCTGAAGGGGACTTATAAAAAAAGATGGAGAGCAACTCTTTGCTCAATCAGATAGTGACAGGATGAGGGGGAATGAATTGTTTTAAACTAAAAGGGGAGATTTATATTAGAAGTTAGGAGGAAATTCTTCATTCAGAAGGCAGTGAAGCACTGGAACAGGTTGCCCGGGGAGATTGTGGATTCTCCGTCTCTGGAGGTGTTTAAGACCAGGTTAGACTAGACCTTGAGCAACCTGATCTAGTGTGGGGCATCCCTGCCAATGGTGGGGGGTGGAACTGGATGATCTTTGAGGTCCTTTCCAAACCAAGCCATTCTATGATTCTATGATAGCTCCTCCTCTGAAGGTGTTGTGGCTGCACGCACAGACCTTGACAGGTCTAGACTATACAACAGCCTCTGCATCAAACTGACCTTTTAACTAAGCTTTTCTCTGCTCTTTATTATCCCCACGGCATAAGTGAGCAGGAGCAGGATTGTAGTCATGGCTTTATGTGAAATGTTCATCCTTATTTCACTGGTATGGACACTGTAGAGCATTGACTGAATTCTTTCTGCCGAAGAGAAAACATGTTATGCAGGTTCTCTTTGAGCATTAATCTTAAATATTTGACTTTGTAACATTCATGAGATTTGTTCTGTATGCCAGTCCCATATGTTAAAGGTATAGCCATTCCTTTATTGCTATAGTTTCTAGCTCTAGAGGTCAAGTTCAGCCTCTCTGCTATAGCTTTACTAAATACAGTTCACATTTTCTCCATACCCTCTAACAATTCTCAAGCATACTGTTGTCTGGACAACAGAATAAGTTATATATACAGCATGTGTCCTTTGCCAACCAAATGATAACTAGACTCATAGATAGAGTGCTGTCTTATTATATTATACTTTTGGTTAATTACAAGGTACAGTAAAAATCTTGGCCATGAGCAGTGTGTCCTTCCTTTGAGAAAGCAAAACTGCCTTCCTTTCTAATATTCATCAACAAAATAAAAAATCTGCCCCTGTCCTGAGATGAGTAGCTGAAAAAATCACCAGGACAAAATAGCCCCAAGAGAACCGCAAATTTTATGAATTAATTTTTACCAGATTTTGGCCTGCTCAAGAGCCAAAATTTTTGTTGTCATGAACGGTGATTTGTTTTCATTGTATTTCCAGTCAGAGATGTAAGGCAAAATAAATAAATAAATAAAAAATCAGCATCTGCTCCCCATGTACATCAACATCTATTCATAGATTTAAACAAGGATATCCACTTGGGATTTATAACCCACCAACAAGTAAGCACTTGAATTATAAAAAAGAGTTAATTCTAAAGAAGGGGGGAAGAGAAAAGAGGGCATGAAGGACTGGTTAGGGGATTCAAAGTCCTCAATTCATTGGTTTGTATGCTGTGTCATAGAATCTTCTGCTGAGTTCTAGTCAACAATTAAAACAGCCTGCCAGAGGTTTCCCATGCTAAAAAAAAAATAGCATGCTTAAGTCAAAGCTCTTGCATCCAAATAGGTAACCCAGGAGGTATATGAAGAGGAAAGGAAGGACTGTGTTATCCAGCCATGAGACTGATATCCAGGACCTCTAGATCCCCTTCTCTGATCTCACCAAGATGCACTGAAAGCCTCCTGCAGGGCAGCTGTGATTAGGCTGCAGCTCAACTAGGTGCCTAGTTTAACTCTTTACCACTGAGTGTCTGGCATATATATATATATATTTTTTTTTTTAACCATTGGAAAAAGGAGAAAATCAACAAGAAGTTAGATGGAGGTGTGGTTTCAGTAAGCCAGATATTGAGGAGAAAGAAGTGCAGAGCAGCAAGCAGTAGCAGAGGCTGCATCCTGGAGGGTGCCCTGCAGAGTGTGGCTTCCTGTGATGCTGCACTGTGCCCAGGCAGCCTGACCATGAACTACCATGGGCCCTGCCTCAGAATCTCACAGCCTCTTTAGGAGATTTCCCACTCCTAAAGCAAGATACCAAGTATGAAAACCTTGGCCAGGATAGTGCAGACCTCTGTTTACCTGTATAGTCTAAAAGAAATATTGATAAGCCACACAATGTGTTCACACTTCTTGGGATGCTTGCACTTGTCCAGAGTTTTAAATTATGCTTATTTTTCCATAAACATTGTCAGAACTGGCTGAGGGTCTATATCAGTCGAAATGTATGTGTGTTTCATCTCCTCAGGTGGACAGAGACAGCTCTCTTTTTCATAACGAATCTGACAGCTAGATTTTTTAATGAAAATAACAGAGTTGCTCTAGAATTGCTCTCATTGCTGACTCAGTGATTATTTCTATCTAGTTGACTAAATTCTCAAGCTGAATCTGTTTCATTTGAACCCTTCCCTATTTCTGGAAAATAATAATTTCCACACAATCAACACTTCTCTTAGAGGAGAGAATTTGCTTGGCTAATGTCCACATGTAGACTTTCCACCAATTTAATCTCCAAAAAGGAAGCAGTTGCAGCCTTAAGACATACAGCAGGAGGGAAGAGGCATCTGTAAGCCAATTGCTGTCTCAAGCTCTGTTGTTGATTCATTTTCATCCTGGCATGCATTAAAACCATGCAGTGCAGAAACAATCCCTCTATTATCCTGGTTCCAGGTTCCTTCTCTTCTGTAATGACTGTCATGTGAAGGTTTCAATAGTCTGGGGTGGAAGAGAAATTAGGCATTGTCTCAGTGCTTCTTGAGCAATGCTGGTAACTGCATATTTTCCTGTCCCTTCTGGCCCCTCTTCCACATGTATGTTATGACATGATCTTAATCAGGCACTAAAAAAAATGAAACTCTTGTAAGATTTCAGAAGAATTAACACAACAGAAAGTTATTAAGTGTATAAATCCCTCCAACATTTAATTTATAATAAGAAAGAGAAAGCAATCAGAGGAAGAGAACAACAAGACAAATTAAGATTTTGGCTTCCAGCAAGAATTTTATGTTTAATTTCCAATCATCTGTCAAATACATTGAGAAAAGCAAAAGGCTTTTTTTTTTTTTTCCTATCTCTCATTTGTTAGTGTTTTTGTTTGTTTGTTTTTTAAAATTTATGAACTCACTGGATTTCTAGTACACATTAGTGTGTTAGTGTGACATTTTCAGCAAAACATTCTCATCATCAAAGATCTAGCTTCCTGGGAATTTAGGTTTTTGTTAAGATTCCAGATGTTTTGCTACCTGCATCATCATCAGGAGAAGCCATTCAACATGAGACCCCTCCAAAAGGAAAAAACAAACAACAAAAAAAAAAAAGGAAAAAAAGCCAACAACAAAAACAACAAACCTGCAGATGGAACAAGCAACATTTGATCTTCTGCCTACATCAGAGCTAGAGAGGCTTTGTTCTCTATGAGTTTGCAGCAATTATTTTTTTCCTTTATAATCTAGAGATTAGTGCATATGCCACATACTTTAACCTCACACACTGTGTTTGTATCTATGAAGCAGATAGATCAAATTGAGGAGAGCAAATTCCAAGACCAGCTGAAATCTTCTTGATTTGTCCACAGGCATTCATCCACAACTCTTAAGGTATTGGGAGGCAGTGTAGTTTTCTCCTCTTTGTTGGATGCATGCTAGGGCTGTGCAGAACTACAGATAAGACTGAGATGTTTTTTCCTTCCTCTGCATGAGGAAAGCACATCTGAGACACAGCCATTATATTCTCATGGAAGCACTCACTTCAGCCAAAACAGGTGTTAGATTTTTTGGGAAGTAGATTTTGTCAAAACTCTTATGTTGATCTGGTCATTGCCCTCAGATATTTAGCAGAACACAAGTTTACTGATGTCACATTTCTGTTAGTCCCAGAAATGGGATCTGAAGTCCCAGGTGATCTAAAAAAATATTGTGAAACAGCTTTTACAAAGCCATTCTTGGGGGAGATTTTATTAAATATATTTCTCTCTTTTTTCCAGGTTGAATCAGTTCCAACCTGTGAGTTAGCTTCCTCGGCCAGCTGAGGCCTCACCTCCATGCCCGATTTTTCCAGCTTCTGAAGACAGGATAGTTGTCCCTTGGTCCTTGCTGGGAGCTAAAGAAAGGTTAAGTTTATCCATGATTTAGCAACCTGTGCCAAGAGCTGGAAACTCTTTGGCTGTCTTATTCATCTGCACAAAGGCAAATCAGACTCCTACACAACAAAGCTGTGTCAAGTTGGCAGGCTGTGCTTCCCCCTCCTCCTCTTCTTGCAACACAGACAAAACTGTTCTCAGACATGGGTCTAGTAAGACTTGCACAAAAACTAAACATGGACACTAATACAAATTTAACCCACACAAACAGGCAGGGAGGCTGGGGCTGCCCTGTGTGGAACCAGACACACGACATGCTGCACACCAAACCATCAGCATATTAAAACTACCAAGTGATGTGCTCGTGTCAGTGACGTACTTGATGCTGAAGTCTGGACAGATACTTATACATGTCTTAACCAGCACTTCAGTCTTTATTATATAGAAAATATGTCAGAAAGTTATATGTTAGAAAAAATATATACCTTCCGTAGTAAGTAAATACGCTCCTGATCTTGCTTGGAGCAATGGTTAAAGTGCAGATTTATACATCACAAAACTTCTTTCTTCATGAGAACTGCAAGAGACCCAAGAAGAGCACGTGGGACTCATTGCAACATAGTTATAGTTTAAGGTAGCTTTTTTCTGAACAAATGCTAATTTTTAGACTGGTCAGACAATCTCAACATGAATAATCACTAAGAGAAATCTCTGAAAAGACAGACATCTTCAGTTCCCAAGACCATGTTCCTCATAGCTTTGCAGCAAAGATGGTTTGTCTTGGCAAGCCCAGCTCTACCCCAGCTGTGCTGAGTTGCTGTCCCAGGGCAGTGGGGTCCCTCTTGCTCTCTGAGGAGGCCTTTAGCCACATTTCGCTTCAGCATTTTGTTTGCAGATAAGATACTTTTCAAAAGCAACGTTTTATGATAAGGCTTTTTTGGATGCCAAAGTCCCAGCCTGCTTCACAGGCATTGAAACCAATCCTGGTGCAACATCGATTCACGAGAGGCATGGTGTCCTGGTGTTCTTACTCAGCTGGAGAGAGACAAGGTAGTTTATTCACAAGGCAGCCTCTCCCAGATCTCTAGCTGGGACAAAGCTCCCCCTTTGCAGGTTCTCTTTGTGAACCAGTTGTCCACACCATCCACAGGTACCATGACCCTTCCTTCCAGTCATGTAGCTTCATGCTACATTTCTCTAGACTGTTGCAACATTCATATTTTGTGAATACCTTATTGTTATAAAGCAGAACCAGGTGGTGGCTTCTAAAAGAGATTAGACCATAGAAAAAAACACAAAATTTAACAACATGATGCTTAGAGGAAAACAGGTAAATGCACACCATTCTTTCTGTGCAATAATGCAGCAGAATGGATTCATTGCACAGCAGAATTGCTATTTATTTTCCCTCTCTTCTCAGCATGTGGAGTTTTAAGTAAAACAGTTTTATTCATAGCCAAATTCACTTGTGTATCCCCAGCTGGCTGCTTGCCAACTGTGCTGACATTTTGGGTTTTTAACGTCTTAATCCAGAGTCTTTACAGTACATAGAAGGGAGTCTGAATGTATGAACATCCCCTTTCCTGGTGAGTTGTCCTTCGGATTTTAATGTAAAAGGCATCTGTATTAATTGAAAGCTGGTTTGGAAAGACAATGTGAGTGAAAGTGCTAACCTTGTTCACACTATCCATTAAGAAAGCACAGGAGTTTTTGGTGTTTGCACTCAGCCTAGGGAGCCTCAGTTTCTGGAGCTGTTGCCAAAGAATGTTCATGATAATGTGTATAATTTTCCTGGAAACTGGGCTTATTTTCTAGACATCGGTGAGACAAAGAAGATTTATAGAAAGTACTGTGTTGCAGATGAGTCAAGGTTTCATGAGAAGCTCTGGCAAGTTAGAGTAGAAGGAGTTATCTCTTTGACACTGTAGGAAAGGTCCAAGAAGAAAGACTCTCATTACTGAGTTTACCATTTCTTGACCTTGAAATTACATATTTATTTGGCCTGGAAGCACACACACACACACAGTCTACTTAAATGAAAATTCATTATAGAATGGGAAAACTTTGTAAGCAAATTTATGACTTCGGTGAACTTGCTCCAACAGAGATGACAGGGCTGTTAATGTCTGTATGGAATAACATGGTTTTCCATATTCAGCCCCATCTTTCTAGTCTCACAAGGAACTACAGGCAAACATTAGTTATCTGACTCACTTTATTTTTAGTTCCAAGCCAAGATGGAGAAACTTGAGGAATCTTTTATCTTCTTAACAAAGCCTCCTGCCATTTCAAATCTTCAGTGCATTGAGTGGACATGGATGTTTAATAGTCAGTTCACAAAACCCAGCCTAGCAGAGAACTGCAGACACCCATGTTGATGTATTGGCATGTCTCCTTGCTGGTGCAAGGTTAAGGTGCCAAGGGGCTAGCCTAAGCCATGACAGGCTGCAGGTAGAAAGCAGAGGAGATATACACATTAAAAAGTTAGATTTGGTAGAAGTGATACAAACCTACCACTGATTTCAGTCTGAAACAAAAACACTGACAGAATGGCAGCAAAGAGTGCATCTCTAGCATTGACCTTAAGGCATTGTTTCCCACAGCGACAGTCTTTTGACACAGAAAGAGTGAAGACGACAGAAAAGCAAATAAATAAATAAATAAATAAATAAATAAATAAATACAGGAAGCAAACTTATTTTTTGAAAAGTGAAGGAAAGGGTGACCACCAGTAAAACCATGATTAGAGTTCAATTTTGTTTCAGCTTCATCAACAAGATCCTGTTTGCTTATGGTCTTCATGTTCATCCAGCTCTGATATTTCAGGTTGAGGCTCTGCTCTGGATAAAGCAGGTCAGATGGAGAAAAAAAGTAAAAGACCTTAAAAATCAGGCACGCTGTCTCTAATTCTAATGAAGCATTAGCCAAATAATGCCCTTAAGGGAGCACCAAAGGACAAATTGCTTCTAGATTGGAGATCAGTTAAGTGCTAAAGAAAGAGTGAGAGAAATAATTGAATTGCTGTAGAGATGGAAACAATAAGATGGCTATGGCTTTTCAGAAATGCAGACATGAAAGTCAGAGGGACTGAGGGAGCTGCATACAGTATTATTTTTGTTTTAAATATGGCCTTTCTCCCCATCATTGCTGCCTGACCTCCAGCTGTACCCACCATGGATTCCCTTGTTGCTACTGGACAAAAAGTTGGACAGAGGCCAAGGTGGACACATTTCTTGTTTTGTTATGGAGGATAAATGCCAGCTTAAGTGCTCTGGAAGCCAAGAGGAGACCAGCTGCCTATGGAAGGCAAGACAAGAAGAGATTGTCTGGGCCATGAGCTCTGCTTTGTACCCCTAAGCAATAGGCCACAGAGCAGTGAAGTATGGCATTGGAGTGGGATTCTCAGGAGGCACCCGGAGGGCAGCACTGCTCTTAGGAGCCTTTCTTTGCATGCTCAGCATAAAGGGCATGTCTGGAAACAGGGAAAACAGAGCCAGCAGACCTCTTCACCTACCTTCTTTGGAGACCCCGCCACCCACAGCTGCCCAGCTTGGAGAAGCAGCCCGGGGAGCCTCAGGGACCACACTGCCACTTACAGCCCTCATGCTCAAGAGGATGGGGAGATGACCAGCATTGTTTTCTACCTCTACCTCCTGTAGCTGTAGACCACAGAAGCCTTGACCAGCCTATGGACCAAACATTAGCATCACCCCAGCCTTTCCAGAACAGGTCTCACCCCAACTCCTGACCCTTTCTTTCTCCCACCATCAATGGCAGAACAACAGTCTTCCAAACAGTCTTGTGTTTATATATATATATGTTTACATTTATATATGTAAATATATGTAAATTTATATATGTAAAGCACCCATCACAATATTGATAAACACTGAAACCACTCTGATGGCAGGGATAAGAACAGGAGTTGGCCTGTTAGTACCTCAGAACTTGTTTCCGACCAATTAAAAAAGAAGAAAGAAAAAAAAAAGCCACAAGACTTTGTTGCCAGCCTAGCTGGCTGGCTGGCTAGTGTTTAATACTGCTACTTCATTAACCTATTGTTAATGGCAACTTCCAAACTAGACTTGTTCTCGCTTATCTTCCAGAGGCTCTTAATCCCTCCACAGCTACCTCCTGTTGCTTCTTCCAGAGCTCTCCAACAACATCTGGGCCCTCTAGCCTTTTGCAGCTGCTTTTCACACTTCACAGACAGTAATTAATTCAACACTGGCGGGCACATCCAACTTCTCCTTCGGAGGTCCACGTCCCTTCAGACCTGTCCAGGCAGCTGGAACAGCTAGTACAGCAGAGATTTAGATTTTCTCCTTCCCCTGTGAGTGCTGTCTTCCTGAGATCCTGGCCCCAGCATCACACTTTCTGATGGCCGATGAGGCAGTAAGGGTAATTTTAAAAAGCCCAGCTGCCAGAGGAAGCAATAGCAGCTGGCTGAAATACCAGTGAATCTAAACAACCCAGAACTCACCCTCTGAGATAAAATGATAGCATGTATTTTGAGGTCTGATACATGGTCATCAAGTCAAATTAATTAAGAGAAAAGGTTTCTGTACCTTTAGTGCAGTACTCACGACCTGGATCACAGAAGTAGCACTTATTTACCATGCTTAGTTTCATGAGAAACATGACAGACAGCTAAAGTTTTGCTGAACAAAACTAGCAGGAAAAAAATAAAAATAAATAATAATTTAAAAAAAAAGGATGAAAAGATTCATCTAATTACTATGCAGATTTATGATTTTATTCATATGATATACTCATCTAGATTAATTTTTATTGATCAGAAATGAGGGAAATTCTCTTTTGTTATGGGATGACATAAAGCAGATGGACTTTGCTTTTTCCTCCTCCCTTGTTTTTATATATATAATTTGATTTTATCCACATGATGTGTCTTTGTGATGTAGGAAACAGGAACTGAAAACACAATTCCCTATTTATTACATCAGAAAATATTTGTTAGTACAAGCCTGTTTCAAGGCATTTTTCCAGCTGTCCCCAGCCAGAATAGATGAATGATCCATGCAGTAATATTGTAGGCCCAGCTGGTCTCTTGAGCCTTTTGATTTTCCTTTTGGATGCTACATAGATAAGTTCACAAAGTCATCTTCCCCACACCCCAACATGCATGCTGTTTGCATACACTTAGTCTGCAAAGTCGCTGCTGGGGAGGGGAGAGTGTGGGGGAGAAGAAGACGAGTCAGAGAAGGCACAAATTATGTCAGCATCCTCACAAACAAAATCTCAGAGCCTGAAGGATGCAAAAAACATCATTGTAAACCCCTCCTGAAGTTAAGCTCAAGATGTTTGTGTCTGGGGATTTCTGATCCATTTCTTCACGGAGAAAAAAAAATAAATCAGTGGAATGCAGAAAACATATTTGTCTCTGTAGTCTGTGCTGAGGAGGGAGGCTGGAGAAAGAATATTGTTTCCTGCCTACAGCCTGTGTTTGGAGATGTAGTCTGCTATTTTTATTGTGAAACTGTGGGAAGACATTTTCTTTTTAATCCCAAAACTGCTATGCTGATGTTTTTGTTTGTTTGTTTGCTTGCTTGCTTTTTTGGAT